TGTGCTTACAGCACCTTCCCCTTATGGCTCAATAGCATACAAATAATTAATTCAATTCAGAACAAATCCGGACAAATTCAGAAATCGTACGAAAATCCGGCAGCGTAACGACAGTATACGGAATTTACACAAAATTGATAAAATCAAAATTTTACCAAATTGCCACAAAACATTCACAGCAATAATATAAGACTTTTATTCTACAGCCACAATATTTTTAGACATCGTCAAAAATTGCAGTCGAAAGAAAACACCGCGGAATCAAAATACCCGGTCAAAATTCTCAAGAAAATAATCAAAATGTGCACACTCGGCACCTCTGAAACATATCAAAAATTACGCTGTAAAAACTGAACCAATCGGAAAATACGGACGAAATGCGCTAACGAAAACGAAATCCGGACAGAAAACTCGTTCAAACTTCACCGTTCTGAAAATTGAGAAAGGCGGAATGTGCCTTATCTTGCGTACAACACTTTCTCGAACAATCACGTTGGACGAAAACGGCCCGGCGTCGCCCGAAAATTGCAGTCGAAAGAAAACACCGCGGAATCAAAATACACGGTCAAAATTCTCCAGAAAATAATCAAAATGTGCACACTCGGCACCTATGAAACATATCAAAAGTTACGCGGTAAAAACTGAACCAATCGGAAAATACGGACGAAATGCGCTAATGAAAACGAAATCCGGACAGAAAACTCGTTCAAACTTCACCGTTCTGAAAATTGAGAAAGGCGGAATGTGCCTTACCTTGCGTACAACACTTTCTTGAACAATCACGTTGAACGAAAACGGCCCGGCGTCACCCGAAAATTAACTTTTCCAAATTTGCCCTCGACCTTCTCTCTCCTCCGACTGATTTTAGATATTTTTAATAATTTCTCTCTCTACAAAATGAGCTGATTTCAGCTAAATATTACTCAGATCGGCCTGGCCGATCGCACGATCGTTCTGGACGATCTGAACAAAATCCACATCGTCCTGGGACGATTTCGCAAGACGATAATTAATTTCCATGACGATTTTCTCTCTGACTTTTGCCATACACATATCGTCCCAGGACGATCCCTACAGGAAATCATTCCTGTAACTTCTGGACAGAAACTGGAACATAATTTACACTAATCGTCCCGGGACGATCCAGATTGGCCCGGACGATCCTGGAGCAGATTTGATGTTACAGTGACCTCTATTTGAGGTTGAGTTGGCAGCCTTAGTAAGGAGAAAAATTGTCTACAATCTCTAATGTAATCCTTATCTAGTGGACAAGTGTCCTCTATAAATTATCTAATCATATATACCTCCTCAAGTAAGTTTGAGGTGTTGGCTTCGACATAGTGGGTGTCTAGCTTACACTTAAGGGGAATGAGATAAAGAGAAAATTAGAAGCATAATTTTCTAAACTAATTATATTGTATGATGTATATCGTACTGGACGACCATCTATTCGAGTAATCATTAAAATGTCTAATTACATAATTAAAGTTATTTGAACTAATCATACTTGACGATATATATCATACTTGACGATATATATCATACTTGACGATCAATTGAAATCAAGATCTCAGCTGCCAATCATAACTAATCCTATAATTAGGAAATAATTTTGAATTAATTGATCCAATCAAATCATAAAGGAGATTGGGACCAATTGTACAATATGACTCAATCTTTACATATGATGATATTTATTTGTTGCAAATCATACTAAATGATAATCCAAATCATTTGAACTAATCATACTAGACGATGCTCAAATTGTATTGGTTGACCAGCTTAAAATTTTAAACCGATCATTTAACGCCTTACTCTTCGTACAGTACTAACAAGATTATTTGAACTAATCGTACTATGCAATATAGTATCATACTGTATGATCAGTGTCAGTAGAATTAAAGTTTAGGGCTTTTTGTGAAGCCTTGTATTTAAGCTCTTTCCTTAGTCTTAGTTCAAGTCTTTGTCTATTTGAGTTTTTTGGAGAGAGAGCTTGGAGAAAAGATATTGGAGAGCCTTGTGAAGGAGAAAGGTGAAGTTGTGTGTGAGGAGTTTCACACCGTTTCTCCGAGCAAGCTTCAGCCTTGTTTCCTCCAAGTGTCTTGTTGGGTTTCTTGGGTGGATCTAGGAAGAAAATCATCAATTCGAAAACCATTATGATTCTCTGCTTTCACCTAGAGGGTGAAAAATGAGTCAAGGTTCTCTGCCTTCACCTATAGGGTGAAAAAGGAGTTGAGGTTCTTTGCCTTCACTAGGAGGGTAATAAAGAGGTTAAGGTTCTCTGCAACACCGGGTTTGTGAAAAGATTGTAAGGGCTTCTTTGCCTAGCTATGAGAGCTAAAAGAGAGAAAATAAAGGTTTAGTGCAATACGAGATGAGGACATCGAGGAGTAGATGTAGGTCATTATTTAACTGAATCACTATAAAATTTTGGTGTGCTAATTCTTATTTTTATTTTTCTATAATTTACTTTTTTTGCATTTTACTTTTGTGATAATTGCTTCTTGAAAATCTATGATTGGTATTTCATTTTTTTAATTAGACTATCATCATCATTATTGTAACCTTTAATTAGTTTATTAGCTTACTCATCATATGACAGTATTGCTTTCTTTTTAAGAACTGAAAAATTCAAAAATATAAGTTTTGTGTTTTAAAGTTAGCAGTTAGTTTTTAAAACTACCAATTAACCCCTCCCTCATCCCTCTTGGTGTGCCTAGGGACAATTCACTTAGGCTTAACTTCCTACATCGAACTTTCAAGCATGTTTGGGTTAAAAAATTGAGTAAAAGAGTCGGACTAATGAGTATGAAGAAAATTTAAAAAGTTTATATTGTCTTAGAAACAAATACAACAATAATAAATGATCAAGAAGAAAAAAAAAACAAAAGATGCTTCCTCACCCTTTACAAAAAAGTTACACTATGACATAAAAATAGTACATGATTTGACTATTACATAGTGAAACTAGCATGTGGATCAACTGAATAACACACATGTGCATCTTTGATTATGTCATGGTCCCCTCCTTTGAGGTGATTTCCTTGGACAAGTCATCGAGAGCAAGTATCTTGAGTGAGTCTTCAAGATATAGGTCTTAAGATGAGTCTGTGTTGACGAGTTCCCAATAATAAGGGGCATGTTTCCATGATTGAACATTGAATCCCTAGGCGCGAGGGGGAATGCTCTAAATGGTAATCCATAAATGTGTTTGTTTGGTGAAGTAGTAGTCATAAGGTTCAGAGTTGTGCACTTCCCATAACTTAATTGAGGATGTCAGCAATAAGTAGATGATATATATTATGGTTAAGTTGAATGGGTTGAGACTGGTGATCATTAGGACACATAATTATCTGAATGAGCGATTTAGAGAAGCTCATCGAGAGTGACTGCTTTCTTGAAGTGCTCTTTAGGATGAGTCTACATGATGCGACATCCTACAAGAGGAGATTGGATGTTGGATCATGGGTTGGTTCTAGCAAAAGCACTTGTGGGGCCATGCTTTTTGCGAGCAACTTAATAGCCTAGTGACCCTTCTAATCGAGTTACTTGATGGAATCTGTATGACACTAACAAATTGACTACATAAAAATATATGAGGATATACTTGAGCTTTGAGAGATCCTTCAATTCCATTTATATAACTCCTCCAAATATGATGTGAACTTGATGCACCCATATTTAATTGGATTCAAGTGGGCTACTTATTGAGGACCATTTATTTTATTTACTAATAAAATGTTGAAATGAAATTAATGTAGAATGTCTCACTAGCTTGTTTAGCTAAATTAAAATCAAATTCAAAATTACTTCATTTTCTTCTTCACATTGTTAATTCATAATATAATATTTTATGAAGTTAGAGGTTCTGTGTTAAAATCAAATTTGAGAGATATATATATTTTTTAATTTAAGATTCATTTGGGTGTCCAAATAATTTTTTTTAAAAAATTTAACGTGAGTATTATTAACTTGGATAATAGATTTTATGTAGAAATCAAATTCTAGTAGAGTATTATTCATTTGGGTGTCCAAAAATTGAGTTTTGTAAAACAGCTTTTTAGTATATAATTTTTGAACTATAAATTTTTTTACTAGAAAGTAGCTTTAGAAAACAGCGAAAAAGTCATATTCGGCTTCGTTTGGGATGACTTTTTTATTACTTCTTAAAGCGACTTTTCTGTAAAAAAAAATTAATTTGAAAAATAACTTTCTTAAACTCAATTTTTGTTTAAATTCCACTAAATATTTCTTATCAAATTTTTAATATGATATGCATTTTTTTTATAAGAAGAAAAGTGAAAATACGAGTCACGTCACCATTCTCGTGACTTCTTCTCTACACACAGCCCTCCACTCCCAATATGTCTCGAGTCTCTTTATTCTCAACCTCCTCTTTGGCCCGTTTGGGACAACTTTGTTACTGCTTTATAAAGTAACTTTTTAATATAAAATTTCTAATTTTATCAATAAATTTTTATACTAGAAATCTGCTTTAAAAACTAGTAAAAAAAATTGTCTCAAATGAAACCTTAGTGTTGCATAGACCTCAATCTAATGTCACACCCCATCACCACTTAGTCCTCTTTAGCATCTCGACGCTAGGCCATTTATGTGTCATTGTTGGAGTGAAAAATTAGATTCGTATTGAATTGGTGTGAACTGGTTTGAAAATTGTCGTACGAGTACTGGTTTAATTGAACCAGTAGGGTCAGAAAATTTGTATATAATTATATCATATTAGTAATCACAGCCCGATAGAATTCTTCGGGCTTCAGCCCTACCCGAAAGCTATTGGCTAATTGGGCTTGAGATCGTGTATGTTCTAACCCATATCTCTGGCGCTCTCTCCGGCAAAGCTGAGAGGAGAGAGACTTCCCCTTCCTTCCCAATTTCCGAACTCCTAAACCCTACGCGCTCCCCATTATCGCCATCGCCAGTGCGGTGGGAAACAGCGGATGGGCGCTCTCTCGTCCTTCACCAAATGGAATCCAGAGGACGATCTCCTCCTCAAGAACGCGGTGGAGGTGATTCATTTCCCATGCGTATCTTTTGATTTGTTTGGATAACCGCGCTCGAGAACCTCTCGATTCATTTCTTCTGTATTGCATATGCTTGAGGAATCAGAGCTTTTCATTTCATAATCTGTTTGGTAGATTTTAGAATTATGTTGGTTGCGGCTTCAGGTAGTTTGGTTATAGCTGTTTTAGGTTTTCCCTCTGTAGACTGATGGTTGCTCATCGGTAAGATGGAAAGATACAAAACTAACCTGTCTATGCGCAATGTTAATTACTTGTTATTGGATTACTAGTGTTCCCAATGTTTCTATATAACCTGTCTGTCCAAAATTTGTAGTAATTAAATTAAAAATTTTTGCTGATTTAATGTGTTTTGATTTCACATTTATTCTTTAGATTGATTCAATCATTATATTATCATTTTGATTTTAATTCTCATATTTACTCTTTGTATTTGAATAAAATAGGTTGTTAGCTTTTTTATTGGTTTGTGATTTGTGAATACTAAGTTCCCTAACGTGATTTCTATATAAATCACATAATCTTAATTCCTTTAAGATATGCTAACCTTGAATCATATTGCGTCAAATTGGCATCGGAGTTTTAGGTTGTGTCAACATGTCACTTAGAGGTAGAATTAATATCAGTGTAACCTAAATTGTCATGATATGGATGTGATATTGGCAATTTTACTAAATAAATTAGTTGAATTGTTGAATAAACAAAATCAATCAAGTAATGACATTACTTTTGGTTGAAGCAAGAAATGATACATTAGAAACTAATCAAGTTGCTGGATGTGAACTTGAAATAAATTCCAATCATAATAATAAACCTATTTATCTGAATTTTAATTTTTAAAGGAGATAAGGGAATCATGTTAATATATAATTTTAAGGTATTTAATAATGATGCTTATCAAAATCATAGATGTTGTAATTTGATGTAAATGATGACATAACAAGAGCAGTTAAAGTTGAAATGTTACCTATGATGGTCAAATTAATCCTAAAGTGTTTACTGACTGATTATTGGATTTGGATTAGTTCTTTAAATGAAAAACTATCTTTTCAAAGGTAAGTAGAATTTGCAATAATGAAATTAACTGGATCAAATAAAATTTATTGGATGAGCATTGAAAGATAAAGAAAAAGGTTAGGAAGAGAACTACCACATAGGCTGCATTGAAAGAATTTTCAAAAGAAATTATTATCCTAACAATGCAAAGGTTAGAGTTCCTAGCAATTGTGTTGGCAGCATTGTGGTTGTTCAATGTTATATATTTATCCTATTTGGAATCTAGATATCCTTGAGAAGGATGGTGTAGTTTTTTCCTTATTTACTATTTTTATTAATACATGGTATTATTATTATTTGAGTTGTGTCAACATGTCACTTGTGGTAGTTGTTGTATTATTTTTTTATTAATTCATGTTCATTTGTTTTGTGACGCATGGCAATGGCCCTATAAAATATGATGATTTGTTAATAAGAGCCGTTAGACATTTTTTTTTGTTTTAATGTATGCGGGATCTTCATGGTATCCTTGAAATAGGCCGGTGCATCATTGGAGTCATTGGCTAAAGGTGCCGTCCAATTTTCACAACGGTTCACTATTAGAGAACTTGAAGAGCGGTGGCATTCACTTCTCTATGACTTGAATACATCAACTGAGGCATCAACTCGTATCATAGAGATTGAGATTGGCGTGTCGGTCTACAATCCTTCCAAACTTGGCCGTGCATGCAATTCCAAAGCAAAGGATGCCTCATATGGGGGAAAGAAAGGAGAAACTTTGCAGTGCCACTACCACACAATGCGAAAGAAAGCTCGAATTGAACCACATAAATCTATCAAATTTGGTTTCCTCATGTCATCAGGCTCACATGCTGCTATTGACAATGATAGCAGTTTGCATGATCATTTTAAGTTGCCGAATGAGTTTGCTCACAGTAAGTTTCATGTACATGCACCTTTCTCTGACAACTATGGGCATACAGAAACAAGTTATCGCTGTGGCCAGCATATTTATCCTAAAATGGTTGAGGTTGAGTCCACTGCTCCTGCAAGTAACCTTGCATTCCATGGAGGGGTGGTTGGCTCGGGTGGGACCAAACTTCCTGTTGGAATATCGGGCACAGATTGCTTATATGGGCATGGGGAAAATATTTCTTCCACTTCAATAGATGAAGCTGGATTTAATGATGCTGGCGAGAACTTTGAACCTAACCTCACAGTAAAAGATTTTCCTCATGCACTTGATAGAAATCATTGCTCATCACAGACATCTAATATTCCGGGATCTACTTCTACATTTCATCAGCTTGGGTATTCCTCTCCTTCACTTGGTCTTCCGATTTGGAAAACTGATGTTTCTACTCCGACTCTTCAAATGGATGGGCAGTTTGAGGAAAAAGGCCAAGGAGGGGTGACCATGCAATGTATCAATAAAATAGATGATCAAGCATGTGATAATGTTACTCCTAAGGGCAAGCTAAATAATGGAACATCTACTGCTGCATTAAATGATTCAGCAATTTTGTTGGAAGCCAACTTTACCGACTTTCCTGACCCTTGCATGAGCTTTGCTGATGATGATGATCTACTTCTGATTGATGTGGATGAGGATGATATTGGAGATGGGTCCTGCTTGAATGGTCTTGGCTCTATTTTCTTAAGTTCTCCTACTTCTGCTCACATGGATAACTTGCCCATCCCTGGCGAATCTAAACCATCAGATGCTTTTTGTATTCCTTTTTGTAGTGATGCTGACAGTTCTGTGGAACATCAAACTATTCATGAACAGACCCATATTGACAACTTTGATCTTCATAGCTCTGTTGTTCCAGTAGCATGTGTTTTGCCCTCATCTTCAGGAACATCTCTTAGTGCAGAACCTGTAGAAAAGTTAATGATCTGTGTATTGAACACAGAGGACCAGGACATTCCATGCAATGATAGCGTTAACTTTCCTGCGAAGTCGTTTCAAGCATTTCCTACTACTAATATGAGGCAAGATATTTCATCCACTGTGGCTCATCACGGGAAGGCAACTTCAGGAGATTGTACATCGGCTAAAGAAGGGAAGACAACATGTGTACAGCCTAATGTGACCAATTTCAAGGCAGGACACTCATTGCTGCATTCAACTGTTGATTGCAGGCTTGAAAGTGTGCCATCTGACAGGGATTTGATATGTGGAGCATCCACAGTTTCAAATAAAAATATGGATGATCCAAGTTTGATACCAGCTATTACTTCACGGTCTGCGCCAGATCTTTCTCTGAAGCAAGAAGCTACTGTAGGTTTGCAAAACATTGAATATGATATTTTTTAAAATATTTATTTATTTATTTCTCTCAAATAAACAATTCAATTCTCAAATTATACTCTTTCTTTGATGTGAAAAGGAATTAAATAGTGAAGTTGCTTGTATTCCATCACACCACGAGTTGGTTTCGTCAGAGTTGGGTTGTGTAGATCCGTTGCCATCAATTTCAGACCAGGAGGAGGTCTTTGAGAATGAAGAAGAAGAAGAAGATGTTGATGATGTACCTAACTTTTCTGATGTAGAGGCCATGGTAAAATGTTTACCTTTTTTCAGTAACGTGGCATTTACTTTCTTCTTTAATTATTCTGTTTAGCCTTGGGAAGATTTCTATCCAGTTATTGACACCATTGCTTTTTTCCTAACACGTGTAGATACTTGGCATGGATTTGGGTTCTTACGACCAGGAATCATGTCTCTTTACCAAGGAAGGTAATCCTCAATTCTACTTCAAAAATATATCTTATCTGTTCTTTTGATGAAAAACTATTGTAGTATCTTTTTGTGTTGTTTAGACCGAATTCATGCGATCTTGGTTTTTTTTATGTTTAATTGTATTACAATTTTGATATCTGTTTTTTCTTGCTTTTCATTGTGGAAATTCTTGTTTAACGTCTCAAGAAAATGGGGAGGAAATAGAAAAAAAAAACTACTATTTGCTGTTTGTAATATCCTGAGCACATCCAAGTCAACATTTTATAAGTTCAGTTATATTTTTGTTATTAAAGAAAGCAAAATTTTGCTAAGCATGGGCTCAGAATAAAGCTTGAACACCAGTTTGAAACTAGAAGAATTGCTTTGTTCAATCATGCAATACAGATTCATGACATAAGAAATCTCCAATTATCGTGCTACTAGAAGTACATAACATTTCCATCCACAAACAGTTTTTTGAGTATTTGGTTATGATGTTTAACCTAAACATTTTAAAAAGGCTTTAATTAACTAAAAATTTCTTTATTTTTTTAAAAAAATTATTTCATTTTATTAATTTGTTCTCTATTAATATTATTGTTGTAACAACTAACAAGTTCTGTTATTTGGATGATAAAATTTTTAAGTGAGGGAGTGAACAATTTGCCATCTAATTTGTATCCATGTGCAAATATATTTATCTGTGTTAAGTAATTATGCCATATGAATTCTATGATTTATGCTCAATAATTTTTTCTTTTTTAGTATCAAAATACCAGTGCGTGGACACCAAGAAGACCATTATTAGGTTGGAACAAGGTGCACGTTCTTATATGAATAGAGCCATTTCATCTCATGGTGCTTTTGCAATCTTTTATGGCCGCAATTTGAAGTACTTCATCAGAAATCCTGAGGTAATTATGGAATCATGATATTTAGCTGCACAATATTAACATGTTGTGTACTTTTACGCATACTTCTTCATTAAAATCTAATTAGAAATGTCTATATTTGCTTGAGATGCCCTTTACGTTTATATTTTTAGCTCTGATCTATTTGCAATATATCTTATGGAGTTACATTAACGGAATGGGTGTATGTTTGTGGACGGACAAGGCTATTAAAACATACAACGAAGAAAAAGTTGGCATAAAAGACCATTCTTCTTTGGAATATCCAAAGCTTCTTAAATTAAAAATATGCATGTAGCCTCGACTCTTGTAAAGTCTTAACTCTTAAGCATGCTTGATTGGAGTTGATCATCTTCTACTTTTGTTATAACATACAAATATTTAAGAGATCATAAGTGAGGATCAGAATTATATACATTTGAACCAATAACATGGAAATTAATAGAAAAACTGCTTGAAGAAACTATTAAAACCAGAAGGCATTACATGTGGTTTCTTTTCTACATAAAGTTTCAAATAATTTATCTTTGAATGACATGGAAGCTACAACAACATCAAGCTTTTATCCCACTATGCAGGGTCGACTACATAAATCATTTTTCTCCATTGTGTCCTATTAAGAATCAAATTTTCATTTAAATATGATAAAAAGATGTCATTTTTAATACTTTCTAATCAAATTTTTTGGGTCTACCTCTTCCTTTCTTAACATAGGCTGAGCCTATTACATCTACTATTCAAACTGGGCCATCAGTAGGTCGACATTTTGTGACCAACCATCTAAGATGACTCTCTTTAATCTTATATGCCACTGGAGCTACTCCAACCATTTCACGTATATACTCGTTTCATATTTTGTTTATATGTGTAAAGTCACTCATCCACCTGAGCATCCACATCTTGCAACACTTAACTTAATTGTATGTTTCTCTTTTAATGATCAACATTATATGTGATAAAGTATTGTAGGTTTCACCACCATCTTATAAAAATTTTCCTTAAGTTTGAGTTGTACTTTTCTATCACAGCATAGACCAGATGCATTCCTCCACTTCAACAATCTAACTTGAATTCTACTAATAATATTCCCATCTATTTCACCATCGCTTTGAACTATAAACTTGAGATATCTAAAAAACATGCACTCTTTTTAATGAATTAATCACCTCATGTCAAAATCCCCTCATTAGATCTCTTACTACTAAAATTACACTTCATGTGATCGGTTTTATATCTACTCAAATGAAAACCTTTAGAATCTAAGGTTGGCCTCCTTAATTCAAGTTTTCCTTCGTCTCTCTTTTGTTTTATCAATAAGAAGAATATTATCATAAAAAAAGCATACACCAGGGTGCATCCTCTTGCAAATAGCTAGTAAAAATATCCATGAATAAAGCAAAAAGATATGGGCTTAAAGATGATCCTTGATGTAATCCAATTGAAATGGGAAAATACTTGGTCAAACTATCTTGTATTTGAAGTTTTGAACACAAGTAATAACTCCTATATACATATGCTTAAGGACTTGAATATAAGCATTTTTAACTCCATTTTTTTAAACCTCTCCATAGAACTTCTTTTGGAACTTTATCATATGTTTTCTCTAAATCAATAATATCATATGTAGATCATCCTTACTTTCTCTATACTTCTCCATCAAATCTCTCAACAAATCTTTAGTAAACCTATTTGGCATTAATTCAAGCTGATTTTGAGAAACATTAATCTGAGTTGTAATGTATGCTTAATTGCTATCTCCCATAATTTTAATGTATGATGCATTAACTTAATTCCTTTATAATTTACACACTCTTGTGTGTCACGTTTATTCTTAAAAATAGGAACCAATATACTCTTCCACTCATTTGATATTTTTTTAGTCTTCAAATTCTTTGATTTCCTAAACATTTTCACACATCTATTGAAATGTGTCAAAGAATTCTTGAGATGCAAGACTTCTAACCTTCTCCATATATCGATAGCTATTCTTTCACTCACTACTTGGAAAACATCATCTCCAAGACTTGGTAGAATTCCAGTACGAATTTTTTTCAACATCTCTCAATGCAATCGTTCTTCTACTTTTATGATTGTTTCCTCTGATAGAGTCACAATTAAGCCTTAGTATAGAAGTGCCTTCATCTTCTGTCTCTAAAGGTTGCAATCATTGAGACAGGTGAATTTTTTAATCTCAATCTTGGCCATCAACATTTTCTTCAATGTAGAACTTCATCGACATTAACTTTTAGCATGGCACAATGGAGAAAAAGAATTTATGTAGCCAACCCCACATAGTAGGATAAAGGCTTGATGTTGTTGTTGTTGGAAAACTTCTTTCCTTTCCTCTTCTTGATCTAGCTTTGATACTACTTGTATGAAGAAAAATTGCTTATAGTTTGATAAACACGCAAGAATTAGATTAAGAAGAAGATTCACTTTCTTAGTTCTTCAACTCCTTAATGTTTAGAGATGTTTCTAGTTATTCTGGATTAGTCATAAAGTCTAAAATTCTTTGTTTGCTTGCGAGAATCTGCTACGATGCTTCCTTTTAGCTCTCAATTTCACCGCAATAAGGCCTACAACAGTTATCTTTTCCCTTTTATTATCTGCGCTAGAGATAGAATTCCATCTCTATTAGGAGTTAAACCTTCATTCCACGGTTACAACACTTCAAACTTCTGGCTTCAGAATAGCAACCTTCCATGAATGGGAACATCCTGAATCTAATAGGCTTCAGTGCTTCCATTTTCCTTGGATGAGAACCTCTTGGATCTGTTAGTTCTTGGACGGAACTTGAAAGCCAACGCAAGCAAAACTGGGAAAAACTAAGAGGGGAGGAAGAGGAGAAATAGTTCTTTAGGAACTAGAGAATGAATTATAATTTAATTTAATGCGAGAGTCGGGCAACTATTTATAACCACACCCTATGATATTTTTGTAAACTGAAACTTATACAATTAAGTGTCCAATACAGAACAAATAAAAAATAGCTATATAAATCAACTAAGTAAATTAATGAACCAATACGGCAGCCTCTTGATATAGAGATTGTTTCTTGAGTTGCCTGCCATCAAGAAATGACTTGTAACAACAAAAATTGAATTTAATGAAGTTAATAATCCAAATTGAATTTAAGGTCAACAATTCTCTCAAATTTCCCTCAAATGTACTGATTTTAATTTCAAAAATAAAATGCATGAAAATGAAATAATGATATTCTAAATCATACTGTTTGTCGACATGCAACCTAATGACTCCCAATTGTATTTGTAATTGACTTCCAAACTTTCAGGTGTTGCTTGGAAGGGAAACAGAAGAGATAAAAGTTGACATCGACCTGGGAAAGGAAGGCCGTGCTAATAAGATATCCAGAAAACAGGTACATATTATAAATTCTCGAATCTTTGTTGATAAGCAATAATTAGTGATAATTCTGGGTTACTGGTTTTCATTTGAAAATTATGAAGATTTTGCTTAAAATTTTTGTATATTGAATGAAGTCTTTATGGTTCTGTATTCTACCTGTTTTATATAATTAATGAGGAAGTTATTATCTTTTTTTTTTGTCCTCAAATGCCTTGCGTTCTCGTGCCCCTTCTTTACTAAAATTGACATGCAAAATACATTTATATTTTCTTCATTGAAATTAGCTCCACTTCTCTGTTCTATAATTCGATATTTCTTTGTCTTAGATCATGATCTCATGTTCTCAAGTCCTACATTTCTTAGGCAAGATCCTACATTTCTTATCTTAGTGATTGTGGAAGTGTCTAAAAAAATTGTGGAATGGCTTAGATTTTGAAATGGGCTTGGGGAAGAGTTACGTCAAAAGGAGTAGTTAAAGAAGAGATATACAGTTTAAAACCTCCTTTATTGAAGGATTGGTCAATGGAGAGTTATAACCACACTTTCTTAAGCTCTATAATCCCTCTTTATTAATCTTGAAAAATTTTCAATCTTTTCATGTCATTGAAATCTATTTTAAAGAAGAGCATGAAGCATGTGGGTCATTCTGCTTTTTTCTTATAGGTACAAAATCTAATGTGCTATAAAGATATATCTTTTAAAGACTTCACATTTGTGTTTGAAGCTGCTTCTGCATATATCCTGTTAAGACCTCTTTGATCATTTTGCTTTATTCTTACAGGCACAAAATCTAAAGTGCTATAAAGATATACCATCTTTTAAAGACTCCACATTTTTTTTCGGAGCCGCTTCTTCATGTTTCCTGTTAAGACTTGGTTGGCATTGGCTGTAATATATGTAATTGTTTGATTACACTTGTGTTGCATAGGCAATTATTAAGATGGATGAAGATGGATATTTTCATCTCAGAAACATTGGCAAAAGCTCAATTTTTGTTAACAGTAAGGAAGTTCCAGTGAGGAAGCGTATTAACTTGTGCTCATATGCCTTGATTGAGGTGAGTAATAGTTATTATATCTTATTTTAGTTGTTCATTGAAATGATTGACATTTGGTTTTTCATTGCTGCATGCAATTTCATCTTTTTTCGTTCAAGTATCAGATACTGAAGTAAATGTTTCTTCAGCTATCATATTGATTTATTCACCCTTAAAAACAGAGCAAATCTTTCCTTGTTTTCAAAAATAATATTTTTGATTTTGCTAATTTGACTACCTATAAAAGGTGCGAACTTCTCCCAAGTTGTCATGCACAAAGTTGTTAATGCTAGGGGTGTCAATATTTGACACGGTCCGAAAACCGGACTCGAATCCGACATGAAAATTTTAGGTTAGGGTCAAACCGGATCCGAAACGAGTCGGGTTCGGGTTCAACAATTCGACCTATTTCAAAAATTGGGTTGGGTTTAGGTTAACCCTTTGACCCGTTTTTCCCATTTTTGACCCAGAAACCTGAGATTGACATGTTTTAGACCCGAAAAGCAGAGAATGACCCATTTTTTTACCTGAAAACTAGCAAATAATCCAAGTGATGCTTGAATTTCTCAAACATTGATAATGCTGAGAGATATATGCGTGAGCTTGGATTTTTCATAAATCTGAAAAGCGGAGGCAGGCATTTAAGGCTTCATTTGGGACGGTTTTCTTATTGTTTCTTAAAACAGCTTTCTAGTACAAAATTTTTAATTTTTATACTTAAAAGCTACTTTAAGAAGCTGTAAAAAAGCCATTCCAAACGAAGCCTAGGACGACTTTCTTACTGCTTCTCTAAACAGCTTTCTAGCACAAAAATTTAAATCTTTGTACTAGAAAGTCGCTTTAATAAGCAGTACGAAAGCCATACCAAATGAAGCCTAAGTCTTCTAAATAAGAGGTTAAGGGAGGATATTGGTAATTGGTTTTCGTCTAACAATTTGCATATATTCTGCTTGCAGATCAAAGGCATGAGATTCATATTTGAGGTGAATGAACTTGCCGTGAGGCGTCGCGTCGCTTCCTTAAGACAGAGTACTCATGGACCTAAATCAGAATTTGATTTCGTGTACAATTGAGAAAATTTTCCTGGATCTGTTCTTTGAGGGTAATTATCTAACAGTTTTTTAGGTTATTTTGAGGCTATATTTACATGCGAATCTTACATAATGTAGTTGGCCTATATTTAGGCAAAAAAAACATGGCTTAGAAATATAGTCTATTTCAATCTTTTTAGCTCTACCATATTATCCTTCCAGTTGATTCTATAACAAGCCTTTTTTATTCATACTTGTTACTTTTTTTTAGAGGGAATGTTATTTTATCTAGGGGTGTCAATTCGGGTCAGCGGGTCGGGTTCGGGTCGAACCCGGAATTGACCCGGCATTGTTCGGGTCAACCCGAACCTGACCCGACACGAATGACCCGAAGTTGACCGAAAAAATCGGGTCAATATTCGATTTTCGGGTCAAAATTGGGTCAATCTCGGATTTTCGGGTCAAATATGAGTTTTCGTGTCACTTTCGGGTCAATTTCGGGTTGCTGGGTCAACACGAACCCGACCCGATTTTTAAAACGGGTTGATTTGTTCAACCCGAACCTGATCCGTTTCGGGTTCGGGTTGACCCGAACCCGGATTTTTCCGGGTTGGGTTCGAGTCGTGTTTGGAGTCGTGTCAAAAATTGACACCCCTAATTTTATCCGATTCAGCTTGAGCAATGCTTCGTTCACACTCATTTATATCTATCAAGTGTCTTCCTTCAAGTGAAATCTTCTAAGGCTTTGTTTGAGACGGTTTTCTTACTGCTTCTTAAAGCAACTTTTGTAGTACAAAAATTAATTTTTTTCGATTAGAAAGTTGCTTTAAGAAATAATAAAAAAGTTGTCCTAAACAAAGGTTTCATTTGGAACGGCTTTCTTACTACTTTTTAAAATAAATTTCTAGTTTAAAAAATTTAATTTTTATACTTAAAAGCTGCTTTAAGAAGCAATACGAAAGTCGTCCCAAACGCAGCCTAAGACTTGGGTTTCGTTTATGACGGCTTTCTTGCTGCTCCATAAAGCAGCTTTTTGGTACAAAAATTAAAATTTTTATACTAGAACTTTAAGAAGCAGAAAGAAAATCGTCCCCAACGAAGCCTTAATCTTTTGATGGATATTCTAGGATATTGAAGAATTTGAGATGCCAAATCTCGGCGGTCCAGTGTGGCGAAAGAAAGAGAGAGAGACCGGGAATAAGAAGAGGAAGAAGAAATACAGAGAGTTGTCCAGCCAGCTTTGAACTCTTATAGTTTTAAGAAGTACAAATATAGTTAGCTGGATCTCAATTACTCCTGATACAATGAATTTAGAGCTATTACAATACTTGAGCAAAAACCATGCAGCATCTTCTGAAAGTAATCCGTTTGATTGAACCAGAACCTGAATAACTTTGCCATCACCTTATAGTATTGTTCTTTGTTGTACAAAAGTTTCTTAAGGCAATTTTCTAGCATAAAAGTTTTATTTTGTTTTTTTTAACCTAAAAAATTGCTTTAGCGGCTCTTTGGTATCGGATTTATCGTGGGATTTAAGTCGGATTTATACTAAATCCAACCAAATTGTTTTTGTATGCGTGTTAAATTATGGGATTCCGCAAATCTTGGAATTACGGATTTACGGCATAAATCCCGGATTTACTAAATCCCTCGATTCGGTGGATTTAATGGGATTTAACATTAGAAGCGCGCGAAAGAGATAAAGTTAACTTCATAGCTAGCAAGCTCCTGTTCTTGCTTCCGATCAAAATGTCGTAACTTCCGATCCGACAGGAAGGAAAAGTCATCGAAGGAGCGAAGTCGAACAACCACGAAGGAGCTGAAGAGACGACGTGTGTAATCTATACACCTCCTGTGAGGTAATGAAGAGGTAATGAAGTTGAACAACAACGACGAAAGGAGAAGATGAAAGGCAAACCCTAGAAGCCTCTAAGTTATTATTGATTAACTTAATTAATATAATTTAACTTATTAATAATTAAGTAAATTAATTAAATAATTAATAGTATAAGTAGTGCATAAATTAATTATCTAATTTTTAACTTAATTGTATAATTAGTAATTAAATATTAATATGATTAGCTTAATTAATATAACTTAAAATACGTATTATTAAATATATAATTAATAGTGTAAAATAATAATTGATGATTATTTTGAACTTAACATGTCATTAAATTCAAAACACATTAATTTTTAATTTTAATTATAAATTTATTTTTTAATTTATAATTATCTTATTCGCACTTAAATCCCTAACTTTCATTAAATTCATAACAGTGACACCTTGATGCAAAAGCATGTTCCAAATAAGCTATATGATTGATTGGAAATTCATATGAAGAATAAAAAAAATTAAAAAAAATAAAAAAATAAAAAATAATTAAGAAAAAGTCATAAAATGATTTATTGTAGATTAAAATATTATAAAAATCATAAAATAGTCCTCAAACCATTTGTGTATGATCAATTTAATCCCAGAGTATCACATTGACTCAATTTAGTATCTCGAATATACAAAATTGATTCGAAATAATCTCCCATGTTGTAATTGTGGTATAACTTGATCTCAATTAGCCCTTTGACTTTATAAAATTGAGCCCTATTTAGTCTCGAAGGGATAATTTTTTATCAGTTTTGTACAGTCGAGAGGCTAAAGTTTTGTTTGGGGCGGCTTTTTTATTGCTTCTTAAAACATCTTTCTAGTACATCAATTTTAATTTTTATACTAAAAAGCTGTTTTAAAAAGCAGTAAAAAAAGTCATACCAAATGAAGCCTAAATTAAAACAATGTCATATTATGGAATTAAAATGATTATAAATAAATAGTTGGGAAACTAAAACTTAGGCTTCGTTTAAGATGACTTTTTTACTGCTTCTTAAAGCATCTTTTTAGCATAAAATTTTAATTTTTTTGCACTAAAAAACTATTTTTAGTGCTGAATGTTGGCCATTAAAAGAGAAGCATAAGTTAAGTGTGACAGAGATGAGGATGCTCAGGTGGATGAGTGGCTTTACCCTTAAAGATATGATACAAAATGAGCATATACGTGAAAAGATTGGAGTAGCTTTAGTAGAAGATAAGATTAGAGAGATTCATCTTAGATGGTTTGGTCACATAAAATGGCGGCCTTCCGATGACCAGTTAGGAGAGTAGAGGTATTAGATTCGATTTATGTTAAGAAAGATAGATGGAGAACTTAAAAGACTTGGTTAGAAAATATTAGGAATGACCTTTCTTTATTAGATTTAAACGAGAATTTGACTTTTAATAGAACATAATGGAGAAAAAGAATTCACGTAGCCGACCCCACGTAGTGGGATAAAAGCTTGATGTTGTTATTGTTGTTGCTGCACTAAAAACTGTTTTTAAGAACTAATAAGAAAGACGTCCAAATCTTATTATATTAAAATATAATGGAAAAGTCCAACACAAATATTCTTAAAAAAAACTATACTTTAAAATGTTGCTGGTGGATTCCACAATACGAAAGACATCATCTTCTGCCACCGAACCTGTTGAACTATAGATCCAATTTTGCTTCCAACATCTCCTAACCCAATTTCATCAATTATTTGTATCTAGTAATTGGTGAATATGATGGTCTAGTATGTTGTATAGATACAGACACAATGACATGGATACGGGATACGTCAATTATTTAAAATATAGGACATGAATATAACGCGAACATACGATAATAGTTTTTAAATCATGCATCAAAATTATGACAAAAAAGAAAAAAAGAAAAGAAAACAATATCTTAATTAGTTTTGTAGCGTATAATATAAAAAAATACTAAATATAAATGTATGGTATAACATAAAAAACATAAACATTAACTGTCTGGTACAAGATGAAGCTTCAACTATTCAGTAAAATGAATGATAGGAGTAGCTTCTTTAGAGGTTTGTTTTTGACCTTCAATATTATCATCATTAAATATCATTGCTTCCAATTCTGGCTCATCAAGAGAAAGATTTGTAATATTCGATATTTTTATATTATCAAGGGACTCAAACTCATCTCCAGCAACATCCTGCAGATTGTTATCTCCTTCTTTCTTGATAAAAGATGAATGTTTGTATACACATAAACTAAATCTTCAGTCTGTTGTGGAATAATTTTGTTTATCTTCATCATTTAATGAAGAAGTATTTTCTCTAATTTCTCTCAAAACAAGAGGAGGATAAAACCTAACCACAAAGCCTTATGACGATTGTTTAAAGTAGAGGTATCGAAGCTCCATGAATCAACCACTTCTTTGGATTCATTATCCACCTATCACACAAAGACTCTTGGTCACCAAAGTCTTCTAATTAATCAAAGAATTTAGCAAGCTCTATATTAATCACTCTTCTCTTTTCTTTATTTGGGAAATAATATTTCAAGTATGGTTTCCTCATATTTGAAATTTTTAGATATTTTTGTAGGGAAACTTGTTGAGGGTCCTCTTGACGGCATTCTTTACTTAAATATCTTCAAAAAAATAGAAGAATAAAATAAATTTAGATAATTAATATTCAACAAATTAAGAATTTATTATGAAAGATAAATTGTTATTAACATTGGATTTAGAGAGTGAGTAAAACATTGTAGATGTGTGTTACTTTTACTCCATCTATCTTCCAGAATAGTATGGATAATGCTCCAGAAACTTGAGTATTCATCATATGACTTTCTTTCATATATATAATCACTTTCATTTTAGCTAACATGGAATCTCATATCTTATGAATCAAATATAAAGAGGACTTATCTTTGTTTGCTACTTTTAGCATCTCAGAAATTGGATTAATAAAACTTAAAATATACTCAATATTATCCTACAATAAATTATCTAATATATTTTATTTTAAATACCTTGCATTTTCAATATCATCCTCCCTATAACAAGATCACTTTTCACTTGTCACCATAGATTGAAATACATTTTTTATTTGTTTGAATTTTCTCAATATTACTATAAGTGAGGTAAAATGAGTGTAAACTATTGCAAGCATTCTCAAATTTGGGAAACCATTTAAATTAAAAAGTCTCATTGAGTGAACCATTATAAAATTTCTTATTAAAAAAAACATCTCTAATAATCACAGTGATTAAATATTATTCTATATAAGCGATTTTATTTATCTTAGTATTCTTAGATGTGCAAATATTTTTTAGTGTAAGATTTAGGGGTGTCAATATTTGGCACGTCTCGAAAACCTGATCTGAACTCGACCCAAAATTTTTCGATTCAGGTCAAATCGAACCCGAACTTGGTCGGATTCGGGTTAGAAATTTTGACCTATTTGTAAAACCGAGACGGGTTAGAATTGACCCGAAAATCCGAAATCAACATGGTTGACCCGTTTTTAATAGATCTATGAGGGTTTTAAAAAAATATTATGAAATAAGTAAATGTTATTTCCAAAAAATAATAAATCATATTGCCCAAATTGAATTAAGCTTGGTCCATTTTAAATTTATTGAAATAAATCTTACCTTAATTTGATTAATGTTTAAATGAATTGATTTAAATAAAAAAATTAGTAAAACATACCCAAAGCAAGTCGGATTCAGGTTGACCCGCACTCGAAACGGGCCTGGTCGAACAGTGCTAGGTCAGTTCTGAGTTAGACTCGAACCCGACCCGTGATTTAATTTTGACAGCCCTAATAAGATTAAGAGTATGCACAACATATGGTGTCAAAAAATGTGAGATTAGACTTGCTCCATAAGTAGGCCTGCTACTCTACAAGCTGATGCATTATCAATAATGACATGAATGATATTTGAAGGCCCATCCATCATGATTAGCTTCATGATTAAATTAGAAATAAAGAATTTATCTTTATGCTACTCTTCATAATTGACAACTTCAATGAATATTGTATAATTCTCTCTTGCATCCACAAAGTTGATAAGTGGTCTTCTTTGAGCATCGTTCTATCCATCTCAAACCAAACAAATTCATTTCTCCTTCCATACTTGTTTTGTTGGTTCAAGTAACTTTTCAATATTTACCCTTTCCCTTTGCAATAACTTTGATCTAATGACATTGTATCATAGTGACATGTAACTTACAAGATTATTATTGCAAGCAAAAGTAAATGCATTCTTGTAATGAGGATTCTTTGCTATGTTGAAAGGAAGACCATCTGAATAAAATATCCTTGCTATTTCTCCATGTGGTTACTCTTTCTTCTACAAATTAAATATTTTCTCCAAAGAACTATCTAAAAAGATTTTCTTCTTAGGTTCATATCGCTCCATTCAAAATGATCATTTAGTCATAATAACATTATTAGTTCGAGCTGAAGAAGAAGATGAAGGATAAGAAACATGGGTACTTTGTAGTGGTATATCTTTAGGAAAAGATTTTCTAATCCTTTGCTCAAGTTCAGTTACTTTTTTTTTTAAAATCAGTTAACTGTGTAGAACTTATTTTTGAGCAAATTTTAATCTCATAACCAAATTTTGAACAAATGGGTTTTTGTTGCGGATCTATTATTTATAATTTTGATGAAAGCAAACATTCCTTATTTCTCTACGATTACCTTATGTGCTAACGTTTCAGGTCCACACGATCAGACTGCAATTTGGAACCAGCTCAAGATTGGGTAGACTAGGTCTGTGTTAGTTTGTAATCTTTTTTCTTTCTTGAGTCTGTTGTATTTGGTGTGGCATCTGATGTTTTGTAACTTGAAAGATTTTCTGTTGTGCCCTAAAACATTTCTATTTTTGGTAACATCGTCCGGGACGATATTTATATCGTCATGGACGATCTGACAAAAGTAGAAACCCTAATTAGGGCATCCTCATTAAAACAGTTGTCATTATGCAAAATACATCGTCCTGGACGATTTTGTATCGGCCAGGACGATAGGCTCAATTCAGCAAGAATCTGCCGCCAGATCTATTTAGAAATAACCTATTTTTGGACATCGTCCAGAGGATCGTCCAGGACAATAAAATATCGTCCATAGCTTCACTAAATTAATTCTCATGATTTTAAATATAGAGTAGAGTCAATGTGAATATGGTAGCATGTGTAATGCTTCCTTGAGAAAATATCTAATCATTAATCATTATCATCACCATTAGCCATATCCCAATTATTTGGAATTGCCTTTATGAATAATCATTTTTCATCCATTTACGTTGAATGTTGCATGATTTATTAAGCCCATTCTTAACAAATATCTCTAAACAACTTATATCCTTATTTCCTTAGGTCCACTTCTTCATAATCTTCATATAATAGTTCTATCTACAAGTTTGATTGGTATATTTTTTACCTCTTATCGCACATATTAAAAAAAATCTATTCTTAAATAACATATCTTCAATAGATGTCACTCCAATAGTTTCTCCAATAAATATGATTAACACTGAACTAAAAGCATAAACTTAGAAAAGCAAAATAGCAATATTGTTCTAGAAATACTATTTGTATTCTATGAATCTCTAATAAGTAGCTTCCAGGTTTCATTAGAATCTAACATAATGGATGGCATTCATAAACACTTTTAAAAAACAATAAAATTAAAATGTGAAACTTTTACATATCTTTTCTATACTATTGATACGTCATGCAAAAATTATCTTGATCGGGCATGAATCTCGAGGCAAAAATCAAGTTGAAAACTTCAAAAAATTAAATTTGAGAGCATCTGAACTTCAATTTCAACAAACTTATAGTCAAATGGAGCGTCTCGGAAATACGAACCCAACGACACCAAATTCAACTCAATCTGAGCCAAAATGAGTCCAAATCAAGGACCTGAAGCGCTGTTGGAAAGTTCGTACCATAATTCGAGTCACCAAATGATCTCCAAACTTGACGAGCTTATGATCGAATCGAGCGTCTCGACGAGACAAATCCAACGAGCCCAAGATCATCGAATTCCGAAGTCATTTAAAGCATTAAATGCCTGATAAACAGTCGACAATCGAAGGATTCAATATCGACTGTTCATTCTAACCACTCCATATTTCCCTCTGATCTCTCATCTATTTATGGGTCATGCCACTCCTGAAAATCTATAAATAGACCCCTCATTTCTCTTGAGAGGGGACTGAAGCAAGAGAAAGAAGAAGAAGAGAAGAATAGGAGGGAAGAGACTCCTCCTCGACCACCGCCGGAGTTCCGCCCGAACTCCAAATGACGTCGGAATTCTGCCCGACTTCTACGGGATGTCAGAATTCTGCCCAACTTCCACGGGATGTTGAAATTCTTTCCAATTAACGACAGAGTTCCCTCATGACACTGAAACTCCACCCAAGTGATGTCAGAGTTCTCCTCGACCTCCAACAGACGTCAAACTTCTACCCGATGCCAGACCTTCACTCATCGCCAAGTTTCTACCCGATGCCGGACTTCTACCGGCTATCAGACTTTCGCTGGACATATATCCGAAGATGGATTTTTTTCAATTGTTGGACTTCTTCTTGACGCCGTCCTTCTGACCTTTGTCATCAGACAACAGTCCTTCCAACCTCAGTCGCCCACCGACTACGGTCCTTCTGACTTATGTCGCCCATCAACTACAATCTTTTCAGCCTCCGTTGCCCGCCGACTACAGTCCTCCTGACTTTCATCACCCGCCGACTAAAGTCTTTCCGACCTCCGTTGCCCGCCGACTATGGTCCTTCTGACTTACATCGCCCACAGACTACTGTCCTTCTGACCTCCGTCGCCAGTCGACTACGATCCTCCTGACTTACGTCGTCCGCAGACTACAGTCTTTCTGACCTTCGTCACCAGACTATGGTCCTCCCGACCAAACGAACACGTCAATAGTGATTCTTTGTATTCACATCATGTAATGTACTCTATAAATGTACATCAAACTAAAGCCTTCTCCCAAGGAAGAGCCTCATCTGTAATCAACTGCAATACTAGTGGATTCATTCAAACTGTGTTAGGCCCAGTGGTTTTTCCCCCTTTTCAGGGGTTTTCCACGTAAAAATATTGGTGTCTCCTATGAATGCTACACACTCTCTTATCTGATTGCGTGCCAGATTTTCGTACATAGCTAAGACGTTAAACTTTTTATTTCTCTATCGCCGCGAATACTCCTGAACGCAACAACTATCAATTAAAAACCATTAATATCAAAATTCATTTTAAAAAGAGCACATCTACTGAAGAAAAAATAATTTATAAAGATAATTTAAATCGAGCAGAAAATTTAATTACAACGGTGATATACATTCAAATAGTGGTTCCATCGACCTTGCTTGCGAGTGAAAATAAATAAGATGACAAACTATAATCCAATCGAACTTATCAGCGTCACTCTCCCTCCTTTGCCTTCAACAAAAAAGACACATGAGTCGGAACCCCTCTATGCCTGCAAAAATGATGAAGATGAGATAGTCAAATACCTTCATGCCTACAAAAATTACTAAGACGAATGAGTCAATTGCATGTGGAAATGAAGAAGATGACAAGGGAATTGGCTTCAACCAAACAGTCGCTCGATCGACATTACTTAATTGCGTAAATGAAGAAGGCAACAAAGATGGATTGTAAAAAGTGAAAACCCTAGAGCATATGGGCGTGGCTAGTGAATGAAATATAGGATCACTAACCCATTTTATTTATGATCATATGTTCTTGCTATCTTGGTTAGAGAAAAGATCGGGTTGGGAATAGATTGTGTGGCTTAGTGCTTTAAGATTCACAATAACTTCTATTATTTTAAAAAATGTAAATGATCATAAGCATGGCTTACAATTATAATTAATTAATAAGTATTTTATTAATTCTTATTTGTCAAAGTAATCATTTTGGATTATATATAATTATTAAATGATTATATAATAATTAAATAATTTTAATATTTATTAAATCATTTCTTTGAAACTCTAATTCTACTATGATCAAATCATAGTGAGCTTTCAACATCTCAATGTCCACGTCCATGTACATGTCTGGTCAGGTTTTTACTAATCCAACCAGAGTGTGCTCGCCAAGGGCTCCGAAGTTTCTCTGCGCGACATTCTCTTTCTTCGATGGATGATGCTTCTCGCTCCTCTCCAATCTCCTTCGCCGGCGGCCTTGCCGGCGGTGACGAAGGATTTACGGCGGCTGACCAGGGTTCGCAGATCGGGAGCGCGGCTGGGAGCCTGCAGGGCGAGGGGATCCTCTCCGGCGGCGGTGACGGTGGCAGCAGCTGCGATGCGGATTTCGGATTCCAGCGTCAGGAATTAGGGAAGGAGGATTTAGTAGGGACGGTCCAGTTTTACGAGCGCCATCTCTTCCTCTGCTACAAGACGCCGCATGTGTGGCCGTCGCATGTCGAGGCGGCGGAGTTTGATCGGTTGCCGCGACTGCTATCGGCGGCAATCGCTGCAAGGAAAGGAGAAATGAAGAAACGTGTGAGCTCCTTGGCCTTAGAGTTGATTTGTTAGTTTTCTTTTTCTTTTTTCTTTCCGTCGATGGGTGGTAAATTCTTTTTAGAGACGAGTTGATGAGGTAAATTAAATCTTCTGTATGCTTTTCTGGCTTTTAAACGTACAAGAAAAAATGGATGGGTTGTGAATTTCTAGGCTATGCAGAAATTTTGGGTATTTGATCTTGTTTTTAAGGAGAGCATGGGTTTTATTGATTTTGATTACTTGCAGTTAATTATCACTGTTGCTATTATTTCTGCTTCGTGTGTTATCATACAGGAGAAGAGAATGGTTTGGCTGTTTCTCTTTCACTGTAAAGTTTCTTGAAAGAGAATATATTCCGGCTCTATTTGGCTTGTGCTGTCTTATGGTTAAATCATATTATGTACTTTCCATCCAAAACGTGTGTTAGTTTGTGAACTGCATAAGAGAAAAAAACTCTGTCGTGGTGAGTATTCTGCATTTCATCTTTTTATCATTGTAGGTGTATGTTAATCTTTAACAAGGTTAGTCAGATCAAGTATTTTTGTATTACATCTGATTTTTGTTGCTTTATTTCACCCAAAGATTTTACTTCAAAGCGTGAAAGTCATGATAAAGTTGTAATTTAAATGAACAAAATAATAAAAAATATTCTAATTATACGAAAGTTGTAACTTTATTTGTAGGGGTGGTAGATTTTGTTTATATATTGTGATTCATATTATGTTATTTCAGTATGTCACTTTTTTTCCGAAGTCTTAAAATAATTTGCAATTTAGATGCTAGTTGAAATCAAGATGACTGAGATATTTGAGGACAAAACAAAGAAAAGCCTGAATCAGCATTAATGATTATTGTTAGCATTTACATTGTACATATAGATTTCAATGGATAGATCAAAGTGAGATTCAGATAATATTACACTCTATGCAACAACTTATTTCAACTTACAATGGAACAGATATCTCCTTGCATAGATACTGGTGGTAGAATAATCCCTCTACTTTTGGTTTCATCTTCATGCTAGATTTTGTAGTAGTTATTTTTTCTTGATTTGGAAGTTTTCAAAGTTTGCTGCACGAAGGAGTCTGGAATTCTTGATTTTGGTGACAGAGTGCATGATGTTTTCTTGCATTGGAGATATGCTGCTAATGGGCTAAACTAAGGGAAACTAACAATTAGTTTTGAATGAGTTAGTTGGATGAAGGATCCCTTTAGGTTTAAGATTCATTTATGCAAACTTAGGATGAGATTGCAAAGAAGCACATAAAATTTCACAATTCACTGATCCAAACTTTCAATTTCAACAAAGCTAAGTCCCCTTTGATGTAAAATTATGAAACATATTCTTTTAATTCCAAATGATAATTTAACCACCGGAAAAATTTGAAATTTAATTTTAAAACTAAGAACTGGACATAAAATTTTACAACAATTGAAATTTAAATTACAAAAATGAAACCAGTGCACATCAAACTTGATGGAATCTTAATCAATCACACTTTAATCACTATAATAATTGAATAGCAAATCAATGATGGATATAGGCCCCATTGTTGGTACAAAGAAATTTGTCCCTGGGAAGTAGTCGTCAACACCTGTGAAACTCTTGAAGAATCCACATCTAATGGCACACAGAAGCAAGGATTGAAAGGAAAATTGGAAATTTTTTTCTTTATTTAATATTCAATATATTCTACATTCCTCGTGGATCCTATTTACAGCCCACAAAAGACTCATAATAAGAAATTCCTCAAAATCATGATCTAGTTCAAAATTGCATGTTTCAATTCTCCCAATTTCGAATGTTATGAAACAAAATTGTTTTCTTTCCATCATAAATGCTTCTACATGGAAATCCTTAAGGACGTGGTGATAACTTACACAAGAAAGCACCAAAAAATTAGAATTGGTAGAACAGATAAGGAAAATCACAATCAGACATGTGTAAGAAACCCATAAGAAGGTGTATAAGGAAAATCACAAGTAGGCGTGTATGGCACCTGCAAGAAGATGCATGAGGAATTCACCAAATCATATGAACCATGTAACTTAGGTAGATAACTTCTTAGAGCCAAGGGCAACCCTCAAACACTAGTTCATCCTATTAGCTAGCTTGGGACCAAAAGGCAAGGGACCTATTGAATTGTTCATCATGTTGATAGAATGGGGAAGTAACCAAGAGGTATTCAAAATACTAGAAAGCACAACCTATGCTCAACATTATCATTATTCTAGGTTTATTTTACAACATCAATTGAAAAATAAATTGCAAATTAATATTGTAAAAGAAAATTCAATGTAAACTAATCTTGTTCCTCTTAAAGTTTACTTTTGTTGTTGTTTTGATGAGCATACACTTTTTGTTTTTAATCACACGTTCAATTTGAAAAGATGTTTAGGGCTGGTTTTATTGACATTACAGTAGGCTTAAAAAGAAGTAACAAGTCCAACTTTTTGCCTTCTCATCCATCCTTCCATTCATACACTTCATGTTAATGCATATATGTATGCTTTTGCATGTATTATGGCTTTAAATGCAGAAGTTATCAATATATACCAATATACAAATAGTTTAGACCTACATATTGAAAAATATGTATATATATTCAAATCAACTTGTATTCTAGGGGCCATTTGCTCTGATATTTGTTCTTTTGAACGAATATTTTGGCTTAATTTACACGTGAATTAAATGCATACAAACTAAATCAAAATTTTGAGATATTATTGAGCCAAAATCAATTTAGAAGCATTATCATCAGCCCTGAGATGAAAACCGTACTGGAGATTTGTCTTATTTTACAATATTATAGTCATGATGCAATCTATTTATTGTAAAAAAATTTCCTTGGTCATGTAAGTTTTTCAATATATCATCTTCATCATGTTTAAGTAAGGTGTTTTTAATCATTTGAGCCTTTAAACCTTTGTTCATGCAAATAGCATTTGTAATATCATGCTTTTCTACCTCATATATTTGTATGGTAAACTTCCCTATTAAAGGTTCATTTGATTTGACTGCTGCTGCTTGAAAATTTGAGTGGAAAATTTCTGTTTGAAAAATTGTGGTGAATAGCTCTTGTTGAAAAGTTGTTTTTTATTTGTAGATATGTGTTTGAGTTGCTTCTAACACAATAGTTGATTTTATCTGTTCGGTAAATAAGAGAATCTGACTCTTAATAGGATACCTTGAAGAAAAAAGATTCATGTAGGTTACCCCATGTAGTGAGATAAAGGCTTGATAATATTGCTGTTTTGTTGGTTGTTGCATTTATATACATTATAAAATGCCAAAAAGATTGAAGTACCCATAAGATCTTTTGTCAAATGGGTGGAGTCTCCTTTCATGGAAATCTCTCGTTCCCTCACTAGAAGTCTTCCTCATAGGAAACTACTCGTTGAGAAGTGATCTCATCGGAATCCTCTTACTGGAAGCTGCTCATTTGCACCGGAAGTCGCTTAGAAGATTCCCTTGTTGGAAGCTTTCACCTTGCCTTCATTTCAAGCAGCTCGTTGGAAGGCATCCTTGCATGAATCTTCTTGTTGGAGGATGATCTAGCCAAAAGCCACTTGCGAGATGCAACTCATGCCTTGGAGACTTTCAGTCTCATAACATCGTTTGTATGTACTCCATATTTTGGCTAGGAAGAAATTTTCAGCACTCACAATTGCTTGGGCTAGATAGGTTGGGTTGCAAATATGATGATTTTTTTCCGTTGTTATTACATTGAATCATAAGCAGTTTTTCCCATAAAAATTTGATAATGCGTTCATATTACATGTATTCATCGACTAAATGTGAGGAGCCTTCTGGGATAAAAAATGGGGCCATTAAATGAAATTTTTTTGAAGACCTTAGAAATCAAACACATGCTAAACACAAATAAATTATTTTTATAAAAGCAAAAGCATCCTAAACTTTGGAACCAAAAAAACCCCAAGGTTCTGTGGTACACTCCAGCATTGTAGAGTCTACTTCTATCGACAAAAAAAATTGTTACTTTGTTTGCATTTTTAACACCCATCAGTGTTTTATGTGGCCAGTTCTATTTATGAATTAATCAGAAGGATGAACATATGACTCTATGGGTGGTTTAATGGTAATAGTATAGAAGAAATGAATGTTTTATAATACATTCTATAGTAGCTTTCTTAATTAAGTCATTTTGGTTGTGGCATTTACCTAGTCCTCTATTGGGGCTTGGCTACTTCAACAATTTATGACTTTTATAGCAGCTATGAAATTAATATATCAATTAGATGATTAATATGAATATATTGGTAGGATTTTGAAATGTAGAATTGTATATTCTCAAATTTATGGTATGGATTTTCTTTTGTTTACTTTAACTTGCAGACTCGCCTAACAATATGTGAAGGAGAAGATGGAACTGAGTCATCAAATGGAGATGTACTGATTTTTCCAGACATGAATAGATACAGGTTAGATTAGTATCATTGTCCAATTTTGAGCAGTTTGTTGAATTATTGGCTGATGGATTCTTACTTTTGCGCCATTTGATGTGTTGTTCAGGCGTTTGACACACTTTGATGTTGAATGTTTTGTTGAAGAAGTGCTTGTTAAAAATAGTCAATGGCTTCCTGGAGCAGTTGAGACATTGACAGGTTCCTTTGTCTTTGTATGCTCCCATGGAAGTCGAGATCGGAGATGCGGTGTCTGTGGACCTGTTCTTATTAGGAAGTTTAAAGAAGAGATTAATTCACGCGGCCTTCATAGTCAAGTGTCTGTGAGCCCTTGCTCCCACATTGGAGGTCATAAATATGCAGGAAATGTTATTGTATTTAGTTCAAGCACTAATGGAGAAGTGACCGGGCACTGGTAATAAAGTTACTCCGAATTTTATATTATTGTTAATTCAAATTTCTACTTAATGGTAATTATTGCTGTACTTTTATGTGATGGTGCTAACGGCTTGCCTTTTTAGGTATGGATATGTTACTCCAGATGATGTTCCGTTGTTGCTTGAGCAACATATCGGTAAAGGAGAGATTATTAATCATCTATGGAGGTAATCTCTCTTACATATACCCATTTTTAGTCCCCTTTGGAAAATTTCGCATTTGTGTGGTGGTACATATGATTGTTCCTTAGATTATTATCCATCAAGCAGATATTTATTTGATATTCAGATCCGTACCAGTACCAACATATAAGTATCTTATTATCGCCAAACTGCTCTCTTTTCTTCTCTCCTTGTTATTGTTCCTTAGTTTATTATACTGGAGTTAAGATGCGGAGGAATAGTGACCCTCGAGGATAACACAACTAGAAAAGTCATTGACATAGGTACTGTACGTAAGGAAAACAATTTTACTATTGAGAAAAATATTTTACTAGATGGATTAAAGAAAAATTTATTAAGTATTAGTCAATTATGCGACAAAGACTTTGATGTCAAGGTTTATTTTGATAAATACTTATTAATATTGAATAATAAAATTATTTTAGAAGGGCTACGAGTTAATAATTTATACATGATTGATTTAGAATGCATAAACAAATCTAATGAAGTATGTTGCTTGAAAATCACATTAGATGAGGCTTGGCTGTGATGTAGGAGACTATATCACCTATGAGGATATTTAGGAAGGTCACTTATACGAAGTGGATGCATAACTTAATGTAAATCTTGGCTGAATATTCAATTTCAGCAAAATAGAAAATGGTAACAAGTAAACAATGAAGAAGAACACTCAATAATACTTTTTATTGGATTATATATGAAGAAAAAGCCAAGATACCGGTGATCTATAATTAGAGAGGTAGATCGGCTCTCCCAAACAACCTAGATGCCTCTAGGAAGCCCTCAAAGAAATAACTACAACAAAACACAAAACTCAACAATAGCATACCCTAAACTATAGACAAAACTCCCCATTAATAGCCCTAGAACACAATAACACAATTAGAACTTTTTTAAATAGCATAAACATAATTTAGACAATTAAACATGATTCAGGAAACCTTAAACAATTAAGCATGATTTAGGAAACACTCCTAAACAATTAAATACTTACTAAATAACATAAACACAATTAGATAACTTTCTTAAACAATTTCCCTCTTGATTAGGAACATTTCTAATAATTTTTCTTAATTAGGAATTTTCCTAAACTCTCTATCGGTGTATCAATCACGTACTTAGATTTAGTAACGGGATATTGAAACTAGATTTTACCAAGGAGGATTTGTGTAATGCGTGTCAATTAGGGAAATAAGTTAGATCGTCACCACTAGAATGATAGAGATACTTCACATGAATTTATTTGGACCAATTAGCATTATGAGTCTAGGAGAGAAATTAAATGAATTTATAATATCAACTATCATACAAGTATTTGATGTTTTCGCTACACCAATGTCGCATCACATGACATCGCAAATGAATCACTATAATTGGATCAAGATATATACAACCCTTAAGAATGCTCCACTTAATCATCATTAGCCACTTGATAGCGCAATGGTGTGGAATGCTCGTGTTATCGAATGCATGCTTGGGCATAATATTTTTCCAAAACCTGATGATAGGATTAAAATTATGCCTCTCCTATCCATAGTAACCTATTATTGTATGACCAAAACTTAATTCAATGTAGCAAATCTTTTGATTTGGTACATTGAAAATCTTACTACCATTAGGACTCCTCGAGTCCGCTGAAAGCAAAAACTTGAATTTGGTCACATTATTGCATATCTCTTAGAAATCAAGTATAATATCACCTATACTGCACCACTAGATCACATACCCTCTCATTTTAAAGTCCATTTCTTCTACATTATCTATAATAAGAGGTGTAGACCAGCACATGGAGGAGGTGATTAGGAGGCTGAAGAAGAACCAGCTCAATCCTCTCATCAGGCACATCACTATCCATAGGACGAGTGGATTGAGCATTTTATCCTCCTAGAACTTAAAGTAGATGATCACATTTAACGAGAGACTCAACAGTGGGAGCAAATGCAAAAATAACATAAGGATCACACCTAGTTTAAAGAATAATTTTCCCTCCTCTATGTTTGCTTTTATTTTTTTAAAATGCAAAACCCTAAACAACTATTACCACTTGATTAAGGACCATTTGATTTTTAAGTTTATTGTGTTTGTTTTTTTTTGTCTGCTTACTCATTTTCTTGAGATGCCAAAAATGGGACTAGTGTATTTTGGTTTAAAATTTTATTTGTGTTTTGTTTGAAAGTTGTATTTGTATTATTGTACTATTTTAGTTTTTCTTAAATAAAAAATAAAAAAATTGGAAGTTATTATATTTTTTATGTCATCACATTATATTTATTATGCCTTATTAGAGGCATAAAGTGAGGGTGGGGTGGGGGGTGGGGGGAGGGAGAAATTGGGGAGGGGGGGTGGAAGGCGGGGGAATGTATTGTCATAGTATTTAAAATTTTTTGAGATAAAATTTCAACAAAAAATATTTTTCATCATAAAAAAGGGAGATTATTGGATCTCATGAGCTTGGCTTATAGACTAGGATTTTGATGATCATTAATATTATTAGTTATGTTGATTTAAATTATATAAATATGTGTAGATTGACATTTTAATGATAACATTTTAGGTAAACTGAAGATGAAGGACTGTAACGACCCACAGTACCTCTGAACAATACTGTATAGTGTAACAAATAAAACATAACATTTTTCATCTTATAACCATTTGCATGTTACACATAAACATATCATAAACCTCAACTGGTACATCAACGGAATCACTTAAAAGTTTTAAGCATCTATAAAATATAATTACAGGGTCAGTAAGGAAAATCCGAACAAACACTTCATAGGAATGTTAACATACCTTTAGTTTTGTTTTACAAACAGAAATAAAATTAACATCTATGATTGAAATACTTGAACCTAGCCAGCAACCACTTTTTCTTTCCATTTTCCTATAACAATAGTCAATAATGAAAATACTGATGAGTTATGAGGCTTAGTAAGTTATGCAACTGAAAATAGTATTAAACTTGCATGTTAAAAAATTAGGACATTAAAGCATGAATAAAAATTAAACTACTAGAGAAATTACATAACATTTTTATTTGGCATTAACTTCAACTGTTCTCTTAGATCTATACTAAATATCAATTTTTCTCATTAAAGGTTTGACTATTCTTTCATAAATAAATTCAATGGAGCCTAGGGAAACCTGACATTATTGCCATTGAATTCCATAGAGGTCCCTTTTACCTCTTTAGGGGTCCCATTTGCCCCACATGCTATGCATGTATTATTTCTTTTGGGGTCCCTTTTGTCCCACTTACAAGATAGTTCATATTTGGGAACCCTTTTGTCCAAACTATCCTTATAAATCATACATTATACATATAGCCAAACTTTATGTTAAATTGATATTCAATACACTTTTATAACATAACTTATACTTGTATTGTTGCTTTCGAAAAGATCTTTATTTGCAACTGTATACCATATGTTAAGAATGAAGATTCTTTCCAAAATATTTCCAACTAGTAAAATCTTTAATGAAACATAATAACTCTTATTTGAAAGTATCATGATTCAAATATATAAGAGGTCTTTCATATATGAAAACCAAGTTAAGAACATCCTTTAGTCAGAGAATTACTTGTAATGCATATTTCTCTTCAATTAAATGTAATAAAAAATAATTACATTTAAAATTTTAATTTGCATTACTTACCTCCTTACCGAGACGTCCCCTCCAATTCCCTACTACGCCTTCTTCTACGATTATAAGTAACTTCAAAACCTCCCTTCGGCATATAATCAATGAATCCTAAAAATATAATCGATATGCTTGCTTTAGGAACTATTATCAAATTTATAAAAAATCTGAAAGACAACTATAAAATTATTATACAAACAATTTGCTTACCTCTTTCGTCCCTCAATTTCCTTCTTTCCCTTTTGTTATTTCCTGGATGTCTTCCCTCAATTTTCTTCTTTCCCTTTTGTTATTTCCTGGATGGCATAACAATTCTACACTTCACTCTCAACACTGTTATTTATCTATTGTCCTATAATTCCACTGTCAAAGCCAATATCTCAAGGAAATAAGAAAAATTGCATTTCAGTAATCCAACTTCTTAGCCCTGCTGAAATTCAATTACTTACCCTGCCTTGCACTGAATCCCCAAAGTAAACCAAAATTTTCCTTTAGCCTTTGCACTATGCGATGCCCTCTACCTACAGGGAAAAATCCGCTTCTTGTTACAGGAGGATTTGCGAATTCCCTGTACAGGTTTTGCGGCTCTCTCCAGTCCCGAGAGAGCACCCAAATCTGCTACTGAACCCTTCCTTTCACTTTGTTGTATTTCTTCTACAGAATTTGGCGGAAATCCTCCTCTATATGCCGAACTTCTCTACAAGAATGCTGTGCCGAATGCACCATCACAGAATTGCTTAACTACTTTTTCCAACACAGCCTTTCCCAAGTCTTTACTCACACCTAACTGCCTTATATTATGTCTAATTGCTGTTGCGGACTTCCAAACAAAGGAATTATGTTTAAGAGGGCCCACACACACATTCTTAACTGCTATCATTCTTATCCAATGGAAATATCCATTTCCAAATCACTTGGCTTCCGTGAACTGTTATCTTTATTTACACTATAAGAGAGCATCTTTTCAGAATTATGATAAATTTATAACTTATCAAAGTAAATTACTTAACAATACATCTTTACTTAATATTTTACTATTATTAACTTAACTATTTTACTTCTATTAATTATAGTTAGCCTTAATTTAACAATTAAAGATTATTAAACTTCAAATTAAATTTTAAAAGTATAATTAAATAAATATACATTCTTCATACCTGAATTGAATTCTGAATCTTACAAGGACCAAGTGATATCCGACACACATGATGAGAATCAAGAAGAGTGTAAATAAATTTACATTCTTCATACCTGAATTCTGAATCTTACAAGGACCAAGTGATATCCGACACACATGATGAGAATCAAGAAGAGGAGTGATCGTGCTTAAATTGAAAATGTGA